CTATGTTAATTTATGATCACAAAATGTAAATGATCCACTTTATCATTTAAATCAACCTTTTTTCGTCCAGTTAACTCTATGCTTACCGTCTTTATTGATTCAACCAGATTTTAAATATATAAAACCTTCATATCTATGTTTCATTAATTCTTGTTCTCGAATTTTGACATTCTTGTATTATTACCAAAGGAACATTTCGTATATCAGATTCTAAATTTCTTTCTCCAAAATTCTAATTTGATATTTTACCAATCTCTTGTCCGATCCATTAACATTCACTGCAAAAAACCTTGTCCCTATCCACGGAATTTTTGCGGTTGTGAAAAAATCGTGGATAATTAGCCACAATATACCACGAAACACCCAAAATGCGTTGACCAAAATAGAGTCCATTAAAAGATTTCATTTCCCCACGTATTGCCACGTTTTACCTACAAATTCACCCACAACCTAATTTGTTGTTGGTAAATCGTGGATAACTTGTGGGTAAATTAAATTACCTCGACTTTTCCGCGAAATATTTGTGAGGAATGAGTTTGTGGGGAAGTCATGGCTAAGCCGTGGGAAATACCACATGAAATTCTGAAAATTTGGCTAAGTGTTGGGAACGGTAGTCTTTAAAGACGACGGTAGTTTTCAAAGATCACGGTGGTTTTATTTACCCACGACATGTTCGTGAGTAACTTGTGGTGATCTTTATATTAAAAAAAATTAAAAATAAATAAAGGTGATTTTTAAAGATCATGGTGGTCTTAGTTATCCATGAAGTTTTAGTTGGTAAGTTGTGGGTAACTCGTGGAGAAATAGCAATTACTATTTTTTGATTGCTTTTTATATTAAAATGTAAGAAAAATAAATAAAGGTGGTCTTTAAATACCATGGTAGTTTTTGTTACCCACGAACGTTTGATGGGTAAATCGCGGGCAACTTGTAAGAAATTAAAATTTGTATTTTTTATTGCTATTTCTATTAAAAACAAATTAAGTGTTTTATCTAATTTTTAATAGATATGAAAGTATGAAATTCAATAATTAAATAAATTAATAGATAATAGACTTTTCATCAAATTAGTGAATCAAATGATCTTCAATATTGTATATTTCATAGATATACCATACTATGTATATATAGATATATATATATATATATATGTCGACGTTTAGTACTAACTAATTAAATTGTTAGTCTAATATATATATTTAGGCACATTTGTTATTAATATAGTATGTTCGTGTTCTTTTAATTGCATATGTAGTTATCTACATATATGTATAGTGTATATGGTGTTAAAGTATGTCAATAACTATAAGATCTATTACTTTTACAAAATCATTAAGTATTAACAATAATTCGTTTAAAGTAAACAATTGATCGATGATAACAATAATAATATAGTAATATTATTTTTAATTTTGTCACATAATCGATAATGTCTGTGACATTTATGATTTGATAAGTACTCGTTAATTATTAGTGTTAGTTTGTAATTAGTTGTAAAGTTCACTGATAACATCAAATTTTTGAAATAATTTTAATTTTCATGTTCATTTATACTAAAGTGAACGTCATTGAGTGAAGGATTTCATATACTTGTGTATATATCATACTATTTGGGTTAAAATTAAAATACAAAAATTAGTTACTAAGGGTGTAAATGAAAAAAATTTCATTCGCACATGGTTCAAATAAGAAAGGAAATTGTAGGGTGTCACTTTATAAATATTAGGGTGTCTAGTTTGTAATTTATAGGGTCAATATAAAATTTAGTTATTTTTAATGTGTCACAAAAAAAGTCAAAACAAGAAACATGGATTAAATTAACTATCCTAGAAAATTATTATTTTTTTCCTTAGATGGAGTGTCAAACCACACAAATAAAATAACCTACTCCAAGCTACGTAGTATAGAGAAATAAAGTCGTCTCCTCATGGAACAATGAATTGTTTTCTTCAAACTAATGCAAAGGGGACTTTTGGATTGTTTTTGCTAAACTATGGTAAGGAAATTCAAATAACAAAAAGTAAATAAAAGAAAAGAAATCTTTGGCCAACTTTCATTTTGCATTTTTGTCTCATTTTTCCTCTTAAAACACCTCTCAACACAAATTCCAATACTATCCAAACAACTTCTTAATTTACTTCTTAAAAAATATTTCAAAAATAATTTTTTACACATCTTTCGTCCACCACCATCGGACCACCTCCACCACCACCCGCCGTCACCAGACCGCCGACCGGCGACCTGCCGGCCAAATTCCGGCCAATTCGCTGGAATTTGGCCAGAATCCGGCCGGCAACCAGCGGTCCGGCGATGGCAGTGGGCTGTCCGCCGGCGGCGCGCGGTGGTGGAGGTGGTTCGGTGGTGGTCTAAAAATATTATTAGTTTATTTAAAATACGACTTAAACAATTTTTTAAATTTTATCTAAAACCATATTTTAAATCACATCTCAAACCCAAATCAAAAACTAAAACAAAATATTAGCCAAACAAGTCCTAAGTAACAAACTACTGATCCAAAGGACGGACAACTCAATTATTTCATTAATCATAGGTCAAAAAGGCATTCTTACATTCAAGCATTCAACCCCAAATTTATTCGGATAGTCATAACAAATTCGGAATTCTCTAAAAACATTGACCAAACCCATCATTCAATCAACTCTTACTATGACAGATTGGGTACGATAGCATTCCATGTCTAACCACAACAGTAATACACACAAGAACTAGTTGAATAAAAATCAATTAACAGAGATAGCTACAATTAATTAATACTGTTCGAATGATTCCACATTTAGACTAATATGCACATCTAAAATCTCACTAATGCACATACTTCATCTAATCAATACTTGGTACAACTAATTCGTGTCTATTACTTAACATTCAACTAATAAATAACAATAGAAATCAACACTGAACTGAGTTGTCAATTCAAACAGTACTAACGTTCATGAAATAAAACAAAAATCAATCAATACTTGAATCTAGCAATAAGAAAGATAAATTAAAAACATAACCTCACACTGAAATAATTGAATTAATCCTTTGAATCAGAATAAAAAATTTAGTCACTCATGAATACAACCATAAGCGCTTAATTCTCCATAAAATAAATAATACCACAGTCTGAAATAATAAATACTTGGAGGAAACCGAAAACCGGCCGACCTCCAAACGTGCGCACCAAAGTAGAAAAAGTACGGCCAAAACCGTGGCCTGAAAGAAGTAATCCCACGGTTGCCTCTTTAAGAAATTAGGTCAGCCGCATAAAACAAGAAGTTGGGTGAAAACTGCAGCATTGGACCTTTAATTTTTCAGCTTCTTCAAATTTGACCCAAGCTTTCTCCAGTGATCAATTTCAGTCCAAGAGTTTTTTATTATCAACTTCAACCTCCAACAACTTTTATTTTTTGCAATTAGATCCTTCAACAGAGTGAAATTCTTCCTTTACTTAGCCAGATGATTGTGCAATTGATCCTTTTTGCATCAATTAATCTAGAAAAGTTGTCAACTCCGATTTTCAGCACCTAACACAAAACATTAATAAAACCAAAAGAATTAAAACTATCTAAGTCCATATACTAATAAAATAATAACAATTAAAATATAATTTATGGACTCTATCAAATTCCCTCACACTTAAAGTATGGTTGTCCTCAAGCATCAAAGAACAAAGGAATATTAACTTCTCTTCTTTAAGATACGCCTCAAGAACCTTAGCACTCAAAAGAAATCATGGTAACAATGAAACAAAAATTCACAACCGAGTCAAATATATTATGTGCTTTTACCCTTTAGCTCTTTGTGTGTGTGTGTAAACCACTTTCTAGGGACATCGCAGTCACACATAGCATAAAATACAAAAATTCAAATGCAAGTATGCCACTGAAGAGTGAACTTAGGATCCCTAATTCAGACCGTACGTCAATGCAGTGTTACTCCTACACATATTATGAAACCGAAGGCTTAACGTTACGCCTCACATTATACAATTCAATGCACTTCCCTCATACCCATTCTTCGGTGGTCCATATTGCTTTTTTCAGACTCTTTCCCACTCAGGCCCCTACCTAGAGCATTTTTTCACTTGATTTATGTAGTGATTTACATAGTGTTTCAGCAACTTAGGGCAGTCTACTTACTCATATTTTCTCACCGACGGGCCTGGGGACACTTCGCTCGTTGTTTGCCAAACTTCTCACCTCTCAATGGGCTAGCATTAACGTTGAATGCTCTTCCTTTTCTCCCTCTTTAAATTGTACCTAACCTCAGAAAAGCATCCGCCAATACCCCTCCCCCAGACTTACTTAGCACAAAGTACTCAGCAAGAAGGTAAAAAGGCTATTTCAAACCATCACTCGCCCGTTATTCGAGTTTGAAGTGATGATAGGGTTAATGCCTTCTTTTGGGTTTCACAATATAGCAAGGTCCCACATGCAAATGATACAAATCCTGAATGAATAATATCAAACTTTGGCATATCACATGAATTTAACCAACTACACATACATGTTAAGTTTATCCCAGAGTTATGACTAAAGTGCGCAAGTAAAGTATTCAGAGTATAACACATAATGTATAGACTCAAAAGAAATTTTTGTCCCAATGTAATTAGATTCATAGAGTCTCAAGTTAACCTCATCATCGGCTATTTTTGGTATTTTCTAGTTTTCTGATTTTTTTTTTTAATTTCTCATGTTTCAATTTTTTTTCTTTTTTTCACAATAAACAAACAATAAAATAATAATTATATATATATATATATACATATAACTAAACACAAACAGATAAGAACACCTAAAATTCCCCCACACTTAGAACATAAATTGTCTGTAATATAGCAAAAGATATAAAAATGAAGAGCAACACTTTCCTGGAGAAAGTAGATGCGGAGGAGTGACCTTCATGAACTCGAAGATAGCATGTAAGTTGGTCTCCAACCTTTCAACGGCCAAATTTTGTAAGAAAAAACAAGCTACCAATCCACAATACAAAATTTATGGTAATTCTGCTCCAAGGAGGAAGGACGGCGGATCAAAGGTTGAAGCATCAATGATGATGACGAAATAAAGACGATGCACGTTGACGGAAATATCAACAGCAACGTGGACTCCAAACCGGCAGCACGAACCGCCAGCAACAGAGGAGTTGGAACAGCAGACAACCGTGGCGACAATCGGGTCGACGACGAGCTTCGGAATCTCAGCTGCAGAGGGACGTGATGGATGCTGGTGTTGGCGTCTGACGAACGGCTCGCCGATGATGAGGATGATGCGGTGGATGGTGGTAGATTGACGCAGCGGCAAATGGATTGGCACAGCGGTCGATGAAGGTTCTAGAATTGCAGCAGCGAAGTAATTCATGATGATGGTAGTTGACGGAAAGAGAGCAGCAGCAGAGTGATTGAGGATGGTATGGTGGCTGACGGCGCCAGCAACAGGCAACAATTGCGCCAGCGATCGGAGAAAAGAGTAGCAGCGATCAGCGGCAGCAATCAGAAGCAACACCGACGGTGATGAAGTGTGAGCGGCAGTGAAGAGAGAGACGGTTGATGATGGTGGTAAACTTGAGCGACTATGGTGTTTCGGCAAAATAAAAGGAATCCAGCTTATGGAGTTCTGAATTTTTGATTGAATGATGTTGGGGGATGCTGGAAGAAAGGTCGAATCAGAACTCCGACCGTAGCAAGCTGTTGAATCGGTGATGGAAGCGAATTGGATGGCCGCCGATTTTTGTCAGGTCGCTGCAAATTTGGGATTGTAGATTCCTGGAAAAGAAAGAAAGAAAGAAATCGTAAATTATTTTTAATTTTCTGATTTTGTTTTTCTAAAGAAAAATAGTTTCAATTGTGTTAGGCGTGATCATGTGTAAGCCATCGTTCGAATCTGTCCTGGACAATAAAACAAACGTTAAAAGGAATCAACCTTCTATTCTCTTAGGCATGATCACGCCTAAGAAAAAATAACACTTGCAAAAAATTAATCCAGCAAACCTAAAATACACTTATCCGTGATCATGTTTACAAAACATTATTTTCCTTAAAAGAAAACATTAATCACACATTAAAACTGAACTCCAAATAACAAAACTAAACTACTAAATCAAAAACAACATAAACTTAAACACTTTGGGTTGCCTCCCAAACAGCGTCTTTCTTTATTGTCTTTGGCTAGACCAATTTCGCATGTCTCAAGGTGGAAATTTTGAAACTCCACCTAACAATGGAATATGATAAAACCCTGAGCAAATTTCAATAAAATCAAAGTTAGATAGACTTGATTCAGATTCAAATGCATATATAGAATCAGCAAAATGAGGTGGAAAATAATCTCCCCTAACAATTTCCTTAAATACTCCACATCTATCTAGCCTTTCTAAAATTGCATCTATCTTTAGTCCTATTGCAGGAGGTTGAGGAAGATGTCCATATGCACAATCTAGAGATATAGGTGGCGGTTTCGACTCTAATTTTAGAAATTTCCATTCATCAATTATATCAACAATAGAACACGGTAGAGTAAATATACGTGGATCATTGCATTTGTAAGAAAGTATTAATTGTAACATACCAGATGTATCTTCTCCAACTACTACCTCATTCTTGGAAAAGTTCTCCATCACTTTCTGTTCGGACTCCTCTATACTTGGCTCCACTAACATATCTGAAAAAGAAGTAATAGTTACATTAGTCGGACTAATTAAAATGGAAAGATCAATTACCCCATCGTCGTCCAATGCCTCTGTTTCATTTTTCTCTACTCTCATATATTTCAAATCTTCTGCGTTTTGAGTGGGTGCAGTCTCCACACTATAAACCTGTTCTATGAAAGAATATTTCATTTTCTCTAACTCAGCTCTTGAGAATCTGTTAGGAAAAGGAGGAAGTATTACATAGCTATCAAATTCAAGAGTATTAGCTACCAAAGCATTAACAATCTCATCTAAAGACAAACTTGAGCCTTGAGAATGTGGAGGTTCCAGAACTTAGTACACTTGTGATCGCTGAGTTGGCTGATATTCATTGTTGAAACTTTGGTAATCTTGCCTCTGATTTCCTTAATGATCTCCCTCCGCTTCCAAAATTCAATTTCAAGGTCGGATATATTCTTATAATCCTTCTCTTTTCATTTTTTTTTTATGCATCTTCTGTACTCCGGTTTGATTTTTTATTGCTCTTCAAACGTTTGCGAGGGTTCGAAGTCTTGTTATTGATTCTCTGTTATTTACCGATGTTTTCTTATCGTGTATTAGTTTTCTGTCTCTGTGTGGGAGTGTAATCTGTAAGAGCCTATTGAGATAAATATCTGCTGTGAGGTTAGGATTTTGGAAAACTAATTCAGAAGAGTTCATAAGTTAATTGAATTTAGTATCTTTTTTCAATAAATGAAATTGGTAAAAATGTGTTGAAATTAAAAATTTTAACTATTAGCTCGAATAGAGAATTTGGCCTCTGCTCTCTTAGAAAGATAAAGATGATAGATTGAAGATGTGGAGACCATGAATTTAGCTTCACACGTGAAAGTTATTGTTTAAGGAAGTTGTCTGTTAGCTAAGATTGCGCTCAATTCTCCTTTTCATACGTCTCTTCCCCCTTTGAATCTAAATTTTTTTTTTCCAGTTTGTATCAGAGGTATCCTTTTAGAAGTATGTGTGCACATGATCTGAAGGTGTTTGATTCTGTATTAGGTTTACTGGAAAAATGCACAGGGTAATTTTATAGCATTTATATGCTGAATCTTTGTCTTCTTCAATCTGGAAAAATGCGTTAGGTTTACTGGAAAATGCATAGGGTAATCTAGGTCACTTACGTCCTTGAATCTCTTGCTGCTCTAACAGGGGTGGGACTTCTTCTTTTAATACTTGAATTCCACAGCCCGGATGCGGCTTTGTGCCATCAGCTTCTCCCTCTTCTCACGCACACACCACCATGCTCACCTCTCACCATCTCTTAGTGCCATCAGCTTTACTTCTCCAAATTAGTGAATTCTATAAAATAGGAGGAGAAAGGAAGCTGGGGACTTTGTTGATTGGGCTACGAAAGGAAAAGGAAAGACAGAGAAGGGGGCACCAGGAAAAGAGAAGATGAGAGCTCAATTTTAAATCGAAAAGGGATTGAGGTAATTGAAACTTAATTGTCAACTTTTGTAGTTCGATGCTTTGATATAGTTCCTGTTGTTAATCTGATTTCTGGAATCAAATGAGAAAGTAGAAGTGATGATAATGATGATAATGCCTTTGTTTTGTTTTAATTTGGGAATTATGTGCAAAGATGGTAAATGGAAAAGAATATAGAGAAGTATGTCATGTAGTTAAGCCTTCAGTTCGTAGATTGAACGCCGTGCTTAGCCTCTGAATGTTGTTTATATGAAATGTAAAGTGATTGATGGATGATTAGGAAGTCAAGGTTAGCTTGGAAATGATTACGTGTAATTGAAATGATTACATTTTGTATTTGCTGAAAATGTAGGAAACCAGGATTTGGTCCGCCTGTTGAGTGCTTGTTTCTCGTATCTCTCAAATCCTTTTCTGGGATTTCTTGATATGAATATCTTATATGTTTCATCTAGTTTATTGTGGATTTTACGGATTATTAAACGGACTCCTGGTTTGTCCAAAAAATTTGATGTAAAGATGACATGTTCATTACTTTAAACTGCAGAAAATTCAGAATCAATCCCTTCTGTTATCAGGCCTTTTTCTCCTAGGACTTGAACTCTTTTTTGGATTTTCTTTTTTCGATACTGTTTTTTCATTCAGTGTGCTTTAATGTGGTTTATATGGATTCTAAAACGGACTCCTAATTTTTTCGGAAACCTCATTTGAACACGACATGTTCTTCACTAAAAATGCAGAAAGAATCAGATCTGTGACCCCTGTTAGAAGGCCTATTTCTCTTAGGTATTTAACTCTTTTTCAGAACTTCTTTTTGGAAAATTCTTCTACCCTTGGTGAAGTTTAATGTAGACTTTACATATTTTTAAATGGACTTGCGGTTGATCCGAAAATTGAGTTAAACTACATTTACCAGTTCTGTTTTGTTGGTTTGTACATCATTTCCTGGCAGCAATTAGTCAATTGGTTTCACAAAGGAGTTTGTGTTTCTTGACCCGTGTTTCAGCTAATGATTTCCAGCCTCTGTTCGTTTACATTGCAGGGCCGCCTAAGCGTCTTTTGCTTACCACTAAATGAAGTCTTTTTGTTAGTGCAAGGAGTCTTTTTGCAAGTGATTCAGTCTTGTGTATTAGGTAGTGACATTTAATTTTGTTCTTATTTAATTGTGGTTAATTTTTTTTTTTTTCTGAAAAAGAGAACTTCCATTAAACTTGCTGGAATTCAGCCAGCTCTGTTTGATACAAGAAACTCGGTAATGAAGACGAAGTTTTAACTGAGGATAAAAAGGACTTAGAATGGGTTGCTATAGCTTGTGCAATCCCATTTTGTGATCGAGGAATCCAATACAAATTTACAAAGGAAAGGTCTAAAAGTAGAGTCCTAGTATCGTGAAGGATTGGAACACTTTGATAGGCACAATTCACTTCTCCTACAGCAGCCAGAATTGCAGTAGAACAATCTTCGAGGACTGTGGCATTGCTAAGATTGAGTTTCCTCAGCAAAAGGAGAGCTTCTTTTAATGCTAGAAATTCCGCCAATTCTGCTGAGTTAATATCAGTGACACACCGCCCTCTTGCACTTATAAATCATCCTGAAACATATATTCCTAATCCCACATAGTATCGAGTTGATGACACTGCTCCATCAAAATAGACACAATTTTGCAAATTTTGCGGGCAAATCAAATGCACGATCGAAGGGATGAAGAAACAGCCAGGGAAAAGCCATTAGCTAAGCGAAATTCTCACAGTAAATTAGCTGCCTGTGTTGCTAATAGAGGAGCCAAAATCTGCTTGTCTTCAAAGAGCCTGCTGTTTCTTGAGTACCATAATGAGTTGCAAATAGAACCAAATAATTCAGCCACGTCTCGATCACAATTCAATACCACTTTCTTGACCCAATCTTCCCATCTATTTTGACGCAAATGTAAAATACAGGTGCGGATTCCAAACGCGAACCAAACCTGTGAAGCATAGTTGCACCAAAAAAATAAATGAGAAGTTGAACATGAGACAACATGACATAAGGAACATGATAGGTCAGGAAAGCATCCACTTTTTTCTAGATTCTCAAGAGTGGGAAGTGAATTCGTCGAACATCTCCACAAAGAGTGAAGAACACGACTTGGCAGTTTGAGTTTCCATAGCTTCTTCCAGAGTCGTTTGTCCTCCGCAGTCAGGGCTGCATCAGGATGATGATCATCAGGGGGAGTAGACGAATCCAGCAGCACATTATATGCTCATTTCACAGAGAACCTTCCATTGCTGGAGTGATGCCATATCCACCTGTCCATCGTAGAAGAGTTACCTCGAATGATAGACAAAATACAATCCGCCTCCTGAGTAGTGACGATTGACCGAACTAAGTCATGTTTCCAAGATCCTGATGCATCAATTAAGCACGAAACTGGAGAATTCGAGGGCATGATCGAAGGAGGGCTGTGTGATTGGAAATCTGGCGAACACGGCAGCCAACGATCCATCCAGATTGAGGTGTTATGCCCTGAAAAAATCTGTTTCCAACAACGTAAAAGGAGAACATCTTTTCCTTCAAGAATGCTTTTCCATGTAAAAGATGGTCTCGTACCTGGCAAGGCCTCCAAAAAAGAAGAGTTTGGATAGTATTTTGCTTTCAGCATGCGTGCAAGCAAGGAACTTGGGTTAGTGAGGATTTTCCAAGCTTGTTTACTAAGTAAAGCCAGGTTGAATTTTTTTAGATCCCGAAATCCTAGCCCTCCTTTACCTTTAGGTTATGATATTTTTTTCCAGCTCAGCCATCTGATTTTCCTGTGATCACTTTCATCTCCCCACCAGTATGAAGAAACCATGGTATTCAGCTCCTGAATTGTGGAATCCGGCAACCGAAAACACGACATTGTGTAGGTCGGTATTGCTTGTACAACACTTTTTATTAACACTTCTTTCCCCTCTTTTGAAAGACACTTCTCTTTCCAGTCTTTTAGCTTCTTCCATACTCTATCTTTTATAGAATTAAACAGCTCACTTGTTCTGGCCTGATACAATAGGTAGACCAATGTATTTGTCGTGCCCTTCAACTTGAGGAATTTCCAGGATGGATGAAATCCGGGATGCCAATGACTCATCTGTGTTTGGACTAAAGACGAAACCGGATTTGTCATAATTGATGCGTTGGCCAGAGACCCTTTCGTACATTTGAATAGCAAACTTAAAATGACGAGCCTACTCCTCCGAAGCCTGACCAAACAAAAGTTTATCGTCTGCAAAAACAAATGAGAAACCGCCGATGCCCCACGTCGAACAGAAATTCCATGAATTTGACCACATGCCTGCAAATCCTTGAGAATACATGAAAAAAGTTCGGAACAATTATGAAGAAATCGGGAGACGGTCTCCTTGTGTTATACCTTTCTGTGGCTTTAACTGACTGAATTGCACTCCATTTAGAAGGAAAGAAAAAGATATAGTGGACAAGCAATGAAGCAACAATTCAACAAAGTTGGAATGTAGACCTAATACCCTCATAATTTCACCAAGAAAACACCATTCTACTCTATCAAAAGCCTTACTCATGTCAAGTTTTATGGACATTAGACCTAAGTTCCCCGACATTCTTGATCGCATGTAATGGTGTGTTTTGTAAGCAACCAATATATTGTCAGTAATTAATCTACCGGAGACAAATGCTGATTGAGAATCACTAATGATTGAAAGCAATATGTTTCAGATTCTATTGGCTAGCACTTTAGA